AAATAGATCACCAGACTTTTCTTCCAAGTTATTTCTAAGGAGACTCCAACCTCCAACCTTTGGTTAACAGCTGAACATGGTAACCATTTGCACCAGCCGGGAATGCCATGTCACACATTACCTGTAACTCACAACAACCCTATAGGACAGAGTTGAATACTCCAGTGGGTTTCTGAGACTCTCAATCTGTTCAGGAGCAAACAGCATCAAAGGTCCAGGAAAATGCCCGGATGATAAACTGCTCAGCATGATTTGATGAATAACCATTTGTCAATACCCCAGAGATAGATAGCTCAGCCCTGTGGCTGATGGGGAAAAAATACAATCATTAGGAATGGTCTGAGGTCTGCCTGCAAAGGAGGATGTGGGTGTAGGTCCGATGCCTGGGCATTTCCCAGTGAACACATCTTGGAGGGAAATGTCAGCTGGATGAGGGGAGGGACTGGTAGAGGGTAATTGAGTGTTGTAGCTTGGCAGATGGAGATGAGTTATATTGTTAAGAAAGAAATGGAGGAAAAGGATTAGGTTTTTTGGTTTGATTTTTTTTTTTTCCTGTTTTACTGGGTCTTAGGTAACCATTTACACATTCAACAATTCATGCAAATTGCTCCTTGACATTGGTTGCTGTCCACACGGCGTATGGGCGCTGTTCACCATCTCCACCCTGCTTGCTCCATTTCTATCCATCCAGTTTCCCTGCCTGCTCCTTGCCTTCTCCTCTTTAATTTTGGCTAAATGTTGAGAGTTGGATCTCATACAGCTGATTGTTTAAAGTTATATGCCTCATGGTATTGTTGTTTATTTTATAAGCCAGTCTGCTATTTGGTTGAAAGGTGGTAACCTTTCGGAGTAGCTTCAGTTTCATGTTAGAAGGGTGACTTAAGGGTCCCCTCCAGTGTCCATCAGTCCAGTAAGTCTGGTCTGTTAAATAGATTGGAGTTTTGTTCAACAGTTTTCTCCTGTTCTAAATTGGAACCTTCTATTATAAGCTTGGTGGTTAATAGTCAGGTACCATCTAGTCCTTCTTGTTTCCGGTTAGTCCCGTGGACCAATCTTTCCTACAGTCTTTGGTTTCCTTCAGTCTTCTAGGTGGAAAAGAACCTAAGAGTTGTATCTTAGATGGATGCTCACACGTTTTTAGGACCCCAGACACTACTCATCAAACTAGGAATGTAGAACATTATCTTTATGAGCTAGTCCCACACAACAAGGGTTCTGAGCCTTCCAATCCAGTAAATCAGGCCCATAAAATATTTGGATATGTCTTAGAAATATCCCTAACTGTGCCCCCTTATGTGCTTTATTTTGTACATGAGTTTACAGGGGTGCTTTAAAAGCTTATGGAAAAACTGAACTACAAGACAATGGAATTTTTCCACGAACATTTTGAAACCTTGTGCATACACTGCCCACAAATATACCTGTATGTGCACACGCATGTACGCCCATGTACCTTCCCACGCCAATGTAGCATATGTATCTACCTGCACAGCCCCTCACATGCTTGTTACTTGCTGTTACTGTTGTTGAAAAACTATATGTTACAGCATTTCCCATAGCTGTCCTGTGTTCTTGCGTACCTCTCAGTCATTTACCTTGGTCAAGTTGTGCTGATGACCCCCCATAGTGTGTGTTGCCTTTCCCTTCACCAGAATTAACAGGAGTCCTGGGCTGGTGCTGTGGTAAAGCACTGTGGGGTAAAACAGTGGTTCAAACTCACCAGCTTCTCCTGGGAAACCCTACACAGGGTCTCTATGAGTCTGAACCGACTCGATGACACTTAACACCAAGTCTCCACTGCAATATGATTTACACAATATGCTTAGTTGGAACCAAAGCATAAATAGTATCCTGATAGTTTCTCGCTATGTGAAGCCCCTGTGTTTCTAATCAACCTGGCTTTTCCACCCTCCCAGCTGCACTTAATTAAGCATGTGCCTCCTCCTGTCTCCATCCTGAGATCCTCACTGAGCGCGAGATTGAGTCTTCAGTCCAGGAAGGCACCTTTGCAGTTGAGATGCCATCCATCTCTCTGCTGTTGGAGGGCTGTGAGCTACTGCCTCAGTGGGCTGTGAATCCGGGGTCCCTCCTACTTGAGTTGCAACCTGCTATATTGTACTGTACCTCTCACTGCTAACTTGAAACCTGTTGTTGTTGTTGTATGTCACTGAGTCGACTTTGAAACATAGTGACCCTAAAGGACCAAAGAATGCTGATACATGGGGTTTTCTAGACTGTAATATTTCTGGGAGCAGATCTCCAGGTCTTTTCCTCCTCTGTAGAGCTGTTGGTGGGCTCAAACCACCAACCTTTTGGTTAGCCAACAAATGCTTAACCATTGCACCACCAAGACTGATTTTACTTAAAACAACAGGGATGTATTCTCTTGACTGGGACCCCCCTACCTTTCTGGTGTTACTGTAAAATGGTTCAACCACTCTGGAAAATGGTATGGCACGTTCTCTGCAAGTTGTGAATAAAAGTACTTTATGACCCAGCAATCCCTCTACTTGGTATGTATCCACAAGAAATACAAGCCAGGACATAAGAAGATTTATGCACACTGATATTCATCGCGGCACTATTCATAACAGCAAAAAGACGGAGGCAGTCTAAATGCCATCAGTGGAAGAATGGACAAACTTTGGTATTCTATGCAACGTTGAAGAATAACTATGAATCTGTGAAACACTTCAGAACATGGATGAACCTGGAGGACATTATGCTGAGTGAAATAAGTCGATCAAAAAAAGACCATATTGTGAAAACTTAAGAAAAAGTTTTCATACTAAAAGAAACATTCTTTCATAGTTACCCAGGGTGGAAGGAAGGGGAGGGTAACTCACTAGCTAGAGGGTAGACAGACACAGGTTAGCTCGGATGGTGGGGAGGGCAATATACAAGAAGAGGGATGGTGGCAGAAAATGATCACGATGGGGACACAGGTGTGAATGGGCTAAAGAGATAGAGGTAAACAGTGATCTGTACACAACCTTGGGGAAACAGTGCGTAGATACATGGATTGAGAGACGTAGGCTGAATGGATAAGGGAGGAAAAGCAGGATATAGATACAGATATATAGATACATATATGGAGCTCTGGTAGTGTAGTGGTTACGAGTTGGGCTGCTAACCTCAAGGTCAGAAGTTTGAAACTACCAGATGAGACTTTCTGCTCCCGTAAAGATTATAGCCTTGGAAACCCTATACAGGGTCACTATGAGTCAGAACTGACTCCACGGTGCACCACCACCATATATATTTATGCACAATTCTGGGAGCTGAAAACTCAAAATTGTCAGCAGTCATACTTCTCTGAGACCCTGGATTGAGTCCTTCCTTGCCTCTTCCCGCCTTCTGGTGGTGGCTGGCACTCCTTGGTATTTCTTGGCTTGTCGATGCACCATTCCAGTCTCTGCCTTCAAAGTCACATGACCTTCATCCTGGTGTCTCTTTCCTCATTGTAAGCACACTTGTCTTATTGGAGTAAGGCTTACCCTACTCCAGTATGACCACATAGTAATTATATCTGCAAAAGCATTCTTTTCAAAATGGTGTGCATTTGTAAACACCGGAGTTAGACCTTGAGCATAGGTTTCTGGGAGACACAAATCAGCCTTAGTGCGCCCCAACATGGTGTCTAGTATGTCAAAAATACACCATGAAATAATACTGAAAGTACCATGGACTGCCCGAAGAACAAACAAATCTGTCTTGGATGAAGTACAGCCAGAATGCACCTTAGAAGCCAGAATGACGAGACTTTGTCTCTTGTACTTTTTATCAAGAGAGACCAGTTTCTGGAGAAGGACTTCGTGCTTGGTAAAGTGGAGGGTTGGAGAAAAAACAGGAAGACCCCCAAGGAGATGGGTTGGCACAGTGGCAGCAGCAATGGGCTCAAGTGAAGCAACAATTGTGAGGATGGCACAGGACCAGGCAGTGTTTCGTTCTGTTGTGCAGAGGGTCACTGTGAGTCAGAACTGACTCGATGGCACCCAACAACAACAACAACACCATTGCTGTTGTTATTTCTCTCTCTGGTGGTGTATCAACATCAGCTGAAAGCATAAACCATAAGAAATGGCAAAGTGTCCACACCTTTCTCCTCTACCACGTAGCTTATCTAGGGGAGTCACTGGCCCCTCATTTCCATGTCCCTCTCTGTGCCTGAGACCACATATCCTACCACCTTTGCTCATTTTCCCCATGTTGTTAAGTGCTGTTGAGTCGGTTCTGACCCATAGCAACCCTGAACAGGATTTCTGTAGCTGTAAATCTTTATGGGAGCAGAAAGTTTCCTTTTCCTCCCGCGGAGCAGCTGGTAGTTTCAAACTGCTGACCTTGCAGTTTGCAGCCCGATTCGTAACCACTACGCTTTCCCTCATATCCCCCAGAAATTGACCTTCCAAACTTGGCACACTTCTAAGGCTTTCCAACTACTCTTTGCTTCAGACTGAGGATTCGTGTAAACAAACGTCAATGCGGGGGCTGCATCCTAAGAGGCCTCCATCAGGGACACTTTGTAGGAGTAAGAGGTTCATTAGCCAGTTACAGCAAGAGGTCACCTTGGTATTAAAATGATGCTAAACTCATCCAATATGCAGGGGGGCGGGGCAGTTACAGCAAATGAAATTGTATTAAAATGATCTGCAAGTGGCTCTTCCCTGTCTTATGCAAAGCACAATGAGATTCTTTGTTTGGAGACCAAGTGCAGTGATTTCATAGACTCTTATCAGGGCTAGCATTCTGTGACACACACAGACAGGGAGGGGTGGTTGTTTCTAACTCATAGCAACCCTGTATAGGGTTTCTGAGGAGCAGATGGTGAGCTTGAACCACCAATCTTGTGTTCAAACCAACCTTGCGGTCCAGCGCTCTAACCCACAGCACCACAGAAAGAAATACACGTTGATATTTTACAATCTAGGGCCAAGAGCCTTACCCAGTCGCTTTTTCACTGCTAAGACTTTGTGTTTCTAACTTCTTGCCTTTGTTTTCAGGGAAGGCCGCTCAAATGCCCACAGCCGAGGAGATTACCAAAGAATCGGGGATGTCATGCTGAAGAACATCCAGGGAATGAAGGTGAGCTGGTTTGGAACTAGATGGAACAGCCTCACAAGGAAAGAGCACTGATCTGCTGGTGTCTTGGGCTGCTCCACCACTTCCTGTGAGCCGTCCGCCTGAGGGGACATCTGCATCCCATGGGAAGTGGAGAGGAAAGGCCAGTTTGGTCAACTTTTCCTCTAACCTTTTTTGCAAAAATTCTATATGGAAGTCAAACGGTGAATCCAATCCTTTTGGAGAAAGTACGTTTAGTACTTTCTAGCTTCCAGAGCTCTTTTGCTATAATGAAAACAACAGGTATTTTCCATGAGAATATTATTCAAAAAAATTTTTTTAAATATGTAGACAAAACATTGCTTGGTTGACTGAGCATTCATTTCCATTCAGTTATTTTGGCTTTCTGTAAACATGACAAACATAATGAATTCAGAGTTCTGTAAGAATTCCAGTAAATTCAGCAACTTTTTTGTTGTCAGGTGCCCTATGTAGACCAGATGTTAAATCCGTATAAAAGGCAGACGTATTTTTTACCATCTGACATTTGCAATCCTATCAGTTGGTAAAAGTATATCCCAAAAAAGTCAATAAATATTAAACTAATATTTAGCCCCATTATTAAAATCTGCCCCATCTCTTATATCTGAAATTTTCATTTTAATCCATTGATAATTCTTTTAATGTAGGATTTTTAATTCATACTGTTTCTTTTTTTTTTCGCTATATCATCCATAATTTATTATGAGCTACACAGTCAAATGCAATTGCATAGTCAATAAAACATAGGTAAACATCTTTCTGATATTCTCTGCTTTCATCCAAGATCCTCTGACATCTACACTGTTTCTTTTGAATACAAAGTATGGCTGTATACGTCACCAAGGGAGAAGAGAATCAAATCATCAACATTAGCCCAAGGTCAATTCCTGTGAGGCCATGCGTTTATTCCCATAGCACTCTCTACTTCCGTGCAGGATTTGATAATTTATTGCAGTGGCCACGCAGAATTCATAGACAGTACTCAGGATTATGTGACTTATTAGGGAAGTTAGCAGGTTACAGCTCAGGGTCAGAAATGTTCAGGATATGGTTCTTTGGTCAGAACAGCCCTTTGTCTACTGTGCCCACAGGCAGGCCTCTCTCTGGCCCTTTGGCCTCTGCCCTGCTCAGGCAAAACTCTTTTAAAGCTGCTAATAAATGCCCAATGGATATTCCACTCCACTACAGGCCTCAGCCCAAAGGCACTCGGCTCTCGCCTCACAGGTCAGCAAACCTAGCTCCCCCTGATTAAGTGTCTGGAGGCAGCACACTCTGCAAATGAGCCTCCTGCCCAAAAGCACTCAGCTGTCTCACTCCAGGGCTGGGAAACCCGTAGCCCTGTGTCGAGCTCTGGCTCTTGGTTCTGCTTCTGTGACTCCCTTGATGTCACAGCTTCCTGTCCCTGGATCCAGGTGGTTCAATGTGCAGGGACCTCAGGGTCCCAAGGACATGTTCCACTCCTGGCTCTCCTTTCTTGGTGGTAGGAAGATCCCCTTCCTGCTTCTTCTGAAATGATTCATTTTATACCCATGTTAGACTTCCAAGTTTTTACCAAACGTAATTAATACTGTTAACAATCACTCACAACAGAATCATATACTCTTATCAGCATCTTTTCCTACCTGCTCTTACCCAAACCCATCATGGGATGGCCAGGGACGGGGGGCTTAACAGAACTATAGGTAGAAGAGTCATATGAAGTACTTCACTGCACTACTGTTTCTCTTCAAGCTAATGATGCCCCTAAACAAAGCAGATGGTCACCATTCAGTCCATCTGCTTGTCTGTCCATCCATCCATTCATCCATCTACATAAATAATACTCATAGGATAAATGTTATGCTATGGTTTGACTTAATTCTCAAGAATCTGGTTAAGTTGTTTTAGTATTCCATATCCTTACCCAGAGAATTTTACATCTCATGATGTGAGGAGAGGCTGGGGGTGGGGCATAGAAAGAGGATCAAAGACACTCAAGAGATTTCCAGCCAGTCCCATGCTCTTGTGCACTCGCTCTCTCTCTCTCTCTCTCTCTCTCTTTAAATTGTGAACTGAGTAATTTTACATGGGAGAACATCGACTTTACACCATCATTTCATTGCAATGATTACAATCTCCTTTATGCATCATCATTCAACAGTATTTGCTTCCATTCCCTTTGTATTTCTTTCTTTTGGGGGGAGGTTAATGGGGAGTGGGGAGATGTACACCGAAACACTCAGGAATATATAATCATTTTAGAAACCCAAGGCCCATTCTGCAAGCCAGAATGGTCGCCAGCACAAAGCCTTTCTCTTTCCATGAGTTTAGAGTCCTCAGTTGCTCCCTCTCTCCACGTCCTCATCTCTGCCTCCATCTCTGGTGTCACTGCTTCTCTGGATAGGGTCCCGCATTCCAGTGTGCTCTTCTCCCTTGATGGTCCT